CTCAATCAGCGGAGAGTGGCGGAGGGGCTCCCCAGGATCCTGGTGCACACGGATGCAGCGCAGATGATTGGCAAGGGGCGCGTGGACGTGCAGGAACTGGGGGTGGACTACCTCACCATCGTGGGACACAAGGTATGGCCCGGTTCACCTGGCCCAGCCACTGTTTGCTCTCCAGGATGACTCTGCTGGGGTGCCAGGGGGGCTTTGGGTGCCCCCCACAGCTTGACGCCTTAGCAGCAGCCAAAGTTTTCTGCTGGGTGACAACGCTCCTGCGAGTCAGGGGGACCTGTCTGGAGCGGGGAGCGGGAGGAGGCCGAAGGCTGGGGACAGCTCTGCAGCAGCCTGAGCCTGTGAGATGGGCAGGGGTCAGCACTGGAGGGCTCTCAAATTTGGGCAGGAGTACAGGGAAGGGACACCTGGCAGTGTCCCCATGGTCACTGTGGCTGTTTCTCCCTGCAGTTCTATGGCCCGCGGATTGGCGCGCTGTACGTGCGTGGCCCTGGCACCACCACCCCACTGCACCCCATGCTCTTTGGAGGGGGACAGGAGAGGAATTTACGGCCAGGGTAAGGCAGCTGGACCTTGGGCTGGTGGCCAAACCACGCGTGGGTGCTCAGCCTGAGCTGAGCTGGCTGTTCTGTCACCTGCCAGCCCTGGGGTGGACAGCCCAGCAAGGGGGTTGGGATCCCCAGTTGAGATTCTGGTCCAGAGAAATGCTAATTCCCGGTTTTCTCTTCCCTTCCAGCACTGAAAACACCCCAATGATCGCCGGCCTCGGCCAGGTGAGTCTGGTGGTGATGGGTGAGCTGTTCCCTGGGGTGCTGCCTGGCAGAGCCAGCACAGAGGTGGCACCTGTGCTCCCTGGTAGAGCAGGGAGCGGAGATGGGGCTCCTGGTGCCAGTCAGAGCAGGTGCTTTGGAGCACTTGCTGCAGGCTTTGCAGCCCTGGCAGCGGGCGGTCGCGCAGCTCATGCTGCAGAGGCTGTTCCCAGGCTGGACTCAATTGCCAGGGGGCTGTGCACAGGAGGCGGCGTTGGGGGGGTCGCTGCTGGAGCCTGTCTGGATTTCCTCTCCTCAGGCTGCAGAGTTAGTGAGCAAGAATTGGGAGGCCTACGAGGCTCACATGCGGGATGTTCGGGATTACCTGGAGGCCAGGCTGGAGGTGAGCAGACCTGGGTCCTGTTTGTCTCTCTCCTCCTGGGGCCTCAGCCTGTGGAGTGCGGGGCCTGGAGCCATGGTGGGGGTGTCCTCACCAGGACAGAGCCGCTCATGGTCCCCCAGTGTTCATAACCCTCTTGGTTTCTCCAGGAGTCCTTTGGGAAGCAGAGGATCCACCTCAACAGCCACTTCATAGGCTCCAAGCGACTCTGCAACACCTCGAACTTCTCCATCCTAGGCCCAGGCCTTCAAGGTAGCTCTTACCCCACCACTGCCCGGTGATGGTGCCCAGGGAGCCGATCACCTGCCCTGCACAGCACCCTGCAGCTGGAGGCCAGCAGGTGCTTGGCCATGGCTTGCGCAGGGAGATGAGGCAGGAGAGAGCCTGGGTGCTGGGAGACCAGCGCTTGCGTGTGCTGCAGGGCGAAGGGTGCTGTCTCGCTGCAAGACGCTTCTCGCCAGCGTTGGGGCTGCCTGCCACTCTGAGAAGGGCGATCGGTAAGCAGCCCGTTCTGCCAGGCCCAGGGTGGCTTTGCAGAGGAGAACGGGTGGGAAGGAGAGAAACAGGACAGGGAAGTGGGTGGCTGTTGAGTTAAACCCCTCACCCCTGTGTTTCAGGCCCTCCTCGATTCTGCTCAGCTGCGGGATCCCCTACGACGTGGCACAGAACGCTTTGCGGCTGAGTGTGGGGCGAGACACCACCCGGGCAGACATAGACCTGGCCGTGCAGGACCTCGTGCAGGCTGTGGCACAGCTGGACCGGGACCAAGCCTCGTAGCCCCCAGGATTCGCTGTCATCCAGGTTCTTGGGATGGGATTGTGCCCTGCTTGGCCCCTGGGTGCTGGCTGCCTGCGTCAGTTTGGGCAGGATTAGTTTTGTGCCTGATCCCTAAATCAAACTGACCCGGTCTGGGGAAGTGGCAGCCGGTGGTGGCAGGAGGAGGAATTGGGAATCACCCGTTTTGGCAGCAATGTGCTTTTAGGTCTGTTCAGCTGTGCATTAGCTGGTGCTCACAGGGATCCCAGCAGGGCTGGCACGGCTCTGCAGCACGTGTGGCTTGAGCAGCGAAGCAGGGATCTGTGCTGAGGAGGGGGCTTCGCTGCCTTGGGGCTGGGGCAGCTCGTCAAGAGCTTGCTCAGGACTTTGTGGTGTTCAGTGCACAGCACAGGCATTTGGAGACCCTCACTGACGGGTGCTCCTGGCTCGCCAGCACCAACCCAGCTGGCTGCGTGCACACGAGCATGATGGAATTGCAAAGCTTGACTCCCTCCAGAGCCTGACAGGCGTGGAAGCCACAGGAGATGGAGCCTTTTCCCTGGTCGCTTTCCACAAAGGAAGCTTTCCTGCTGTCCCGTTGCTCAGAGGAGGAAGGACCATCTGCCCCAGAGGGAAAGGAGTTGACAGAAGCACAGCAAGACGCTGGGCTGGCAACTGCCCTGCCCCTGCCAGGGCCTCAAGTTGTCAAAGGGGTTTTTTGGGAAGGTGTTGGGCACGGCTTTCACAACACTGTTTTGTGTTACCTGCTCCCCTTCCTCCTTCCTACAGTGGGCAGAGCTCCTGCTGCCGGCTCCACGTGCTCCTGAAGGGAACAGAGCTTTTGGAGCAGCCGTGTGTGCCAGCACCCAAGGAAACATCTTCCCTGCGTGGCTGAGGTGGTCACTCTTGTTACTGATGCAGGAAGACACGAGTGTCACACGGATTGGGAGCGTTACTGGTGGGGCTGAGTGACGCCGGGGAACCTGGTCTCCCTGGGTATTCATAAGAATAAAAGCAATTGCTGATGCTGTGGCTTTTTACCAAGTAAAATGTAGTCTCCATAGTGTTTTCTATGTGGAAAGCTGGAGTGATTGGCGTCATCTGAGCAATGTCGTTTCCCTCAGAAAACCCTTGTGTCCCAGAATAGAGGCACGGTCTGCTGGAGCAGGGAGGTGCCCGCTGCTCCCGGTTGGCATGGAGCCCACGACACGTGGGTTGGTCTTTCCCTTTACCAGCCGTACATTAGCATGGCCAGGAGTACTATTCTGAACCATGAAACCCCGGGGCTTTCTGTAAACCTAATTTCTAATGGCAGCGTTAGGACCCAAGCACCCTGACTGACGTCACTGATGCCTGTCAGGCTGTTCAGTACCACTGCTGCTGCTCACCCGTTATCTCAAATGCAATCTTTTTCATGTTTTTGCTTCTCCCCTGCACTGCAGTTGAAACTTCTTTTACAAAAAGAGGTCCCACAGAAAGAAGACTGCAGATCTTTCATCTGTCATGGGCCTCACAGTTCTCGGTGCCTTTCTTTCACAGCTGTGGCACAACTAGAGATCCAGTTTTTGGGGCTTTCTGCATCATTTCAGACAGAAAATTAACCACAGAGCACAAAAAGCTTTACTGACTTACTCTTTATACATACAGGAAATGCAAGTTTTAACCACAGAAACATTTGCATTACTTCACTTAGAATATTACAGCCAAAGCACAAGAAGTGTTACAGATGATACAAACACTTTGGTTGGCCATTCTGATGGTTTTACTGTCCATTTGTCTACTACCACAGTGCACAGGAAGGACAGTCACTAGTGACCCGCTCTGTCTCTGTATTGCCTTGTCCAGGGAAGGTGAGGAAGAACAAACATGGCCATGATTTGGCCTGCACTTCTGTGGGCCAGTCCGTGCCTCTGCTCACACACCCCAGGAGCAGCCTTTTCTCTTACGACGATGTCAGTGGTTGCACACACTAACACGAATTCACCCGTCACGGAAGTCTGGAGGTACCAACATTGCTACACCAGCTGTGAACGTACACAGCAGAGACAGGACCCGGCCACTACACCAGAACACCACAGAACTGAAATACGGTACCTTCACGTGGTCACACAGTCAGACAGCAAAACCACAGTTCATTTGATGGAAGAATCCACGATCTCCTGATAATCTTGTCTTCCTAAATTCTTCCAGGACAGTTTGTAACACGCCAGGAAAAAAACAGTAACCAAAATAACCGCTCCCCCGACAAGATCGTAAGCACCTGGGAAGATCCGCAACACCAGGAGCTGCAGGATCATGGCGATGACCACCTCCAGGTGCTGCACCGTGCTGACCAAAGCGGGGTGGAACTTGCTGAGGGCGTAGTAGACCCCTAGGAAGGCTGCAGTGGAGCACAGGCAGATGGCGAGGAGGTAGCTCCAGGTCTCTCCATCCAGCGGGACGATCGGCTCTTGAAGTAAGAACATGGTGGATGCTCCCCACACCGTCCCTGTCCAGCTGAAGGTGAACAGTGCTGTCCACATGCTGACGTTATCTTTGATTGACCTGTAGACTATCATGGAAAGAGCAGTGGTCAAACCTGCCATAACGGTCATGGTATAGCCAAAAGCTTCCTTCCAGGTGCCCAGCAAAGAGTTCTCCTCGTTAAGGATGTTGGGGATCATGACCAGACAAACGCCACACACGCTGCCAACCACAGTAATTACGTCTACGCAAGCCATTCCTTCGTCCATGAGTAAAAAAGCCAAAACGGCACTGAACACTGTGGTGGTAGCCCTCCACATAAGGGTCCCGTTGCTGGGAGGAACTATAGAGAAGGAGGTGTAGGCACAGGTAATGGAGATAACATTGCAGACCCCATAGAAGAAGAGCCGGAGCCTGTAGCCTCTGGGGCCAAAGGGAGGCTCGTGGTAATAACACACAACAGCGACCGACAGCACCTGTAGGACCGAGCGGATGAAGATCAACTCCAGGGACGGCACTTTGGAACGATCGGAGATCAATCTTGTAATGAGCGCCACGCATCCGTGAGCTACAGCAGATCCAAAAAGGACCACCCACGTTCTGCGTGACTGCAGTACATTTCCTTCAGAAAAATGCTGGGATTGCCCCACCTCCTCGGGTTTTGGCAGTTGTGCTGGCTGAAGTTTGGTGTCTATTGTACCAAAAAAGGTCCTTTCTTTCTTCTTCCAGTCACTCAGCAGTCTTCTCTTAGGATTATCCTCCATAAATACTCCAGTGTCTTCATTAACATCCTCATATCCCTCTTCCCCTGGCTGGGGATAGTGGGAAGTGTATTTCACTGTTACTGTGCTGGGACGAATTTTGACTCGTTTTTTGACGCGGTGTTTTTGGGAAGATGTATCCATGTCCTCAGAGAGGTGTCCTGGACTTCAGGAAAAAGTGGAGAAGCACTTTATTTATTCATTTAATGAATAGCGAGAGATTAATTAGTATGTAAATGCCATTAGTGTTTACAAGCTATTTTTATCAACCAAGCCCAAGTACTAGTAGACTGCTCTTGATTTTGCTTTTAATTTTCTGCTCAATCCCTTTGATGGTCAGGTCATTTGGATCTCCTTAAAAGCTGACCATGGAACTTCATTTCAGTCACTTGTTTCTGCAAACAACACCCAGTCTCGTGGTGTACAGCACATACACTGCATTCTAGTACGTTATTAATCCAATGAGCCAGTTCTCTTGCTAAGCTTTTTGAACAGTAAATACCCTGCGATTATGAATTATACTTATTGTTAATTGCTTGCTAATATTACAAGACTAGGGAAGAAATTTGGCTGGCAGAGACGATCGCCTTGTTTCTAAACTGCGAGCGAGCAACACAGGGAAATCGGGAGCATCCCTGAGCAAGTCAGCATAGTTAGCATGTGAACAAGCAACACATTTCTGAACAATGCTCTGACAGCATTAAAAATTCCTTCTTCTTTTCACATCCTGGTCCTGCGATACAGCCACAGGGATGTCACTGAGATGCACCCTCTGCCATCTGCGCAGAGCCCTTCCAAATGAAGCTGCAGCAGGAGAAACGCGACCTTCCCCGCCTTCTGTTCACCCCGTAAATAAACACGTGCAGACCTTACCTGTAACAGAGGTTCAATCCTAAGCCAGAAGAGCAAAACACCTCTTGGCCATTACATCTTTGTCCAGGTGTCTAAACAGAAACAGCAGATGCTCTCAGACAGCAAACAGAAAGGTTACAACCGTCTCAGCACAGGCAGTAATACCCGAGGGAGGCACGAAGCATTCTGCCTGGTTTTCAAAGTTGACAGTTTGAGCACTAGCACATCGGTGAGGCCGTCCATGCTCCTTGGGAGCTGGCAACCACGAGAAGCACACCACCACCAAGCCCAAAAACCTTTAGATGGAGAGAAAGCAGTCGGTGTCATCTTGCCAAAACCACTCCTCAGCCAGCTCTCAGAACTACTGATGGAACAGATGGTGGTTCTGTGAGGGTAACGCTCCTACAGCCTAATAACGAGAAAATTCACCATCCCAAGCCTGCTGTCCTGTCTCACCAGCGCTGTGCAGCAGAGGCTGCCCAGTAGGACCCATCCATCTGATCCACTCCACTCTGGAGTGCCCATTATGTGCACTTCAAATACTGCAAGAAACTCGAGAAGAGACGGCTGAAATGCCACGGAGGGTACATCAAGAGGGTCAGAGCTGGGTATCAGCCATGCTAGGGGCAGGTCAAACCCACCAGACATTTAAACACAGCCCACCAGAAATCCACCCCTGTCTCACTGCTACTGGCACTTTTTCCTCAGATAAGTTATTCATTGGATTCCTTTAACGTGCAAATGCACGGGCCCAGGAAGGCAGTGCTTTCCACAAGCACAGCTTTTCCTACCTAGGATTTGAATTGTGTTTAAAATTCACAGTTCTGCCTCGCTGTCCCCATTTCTTAACATAAAAATAGGATCTTCTTGATTTAAGACACAATATATGGCTCAGGAACAAAATAAGTGGGAGGAGAGACAAGTGGTGCACAGCAGGCATTATTATTAGAGTGACGGTGGATGTAGCCTGCGTAAACCGAATCATTTCATTAAGAAACAGCTGCGCACTCGCTGCAATTGTTGGCTCATGAAAACAAAGCCAAAATTAATAGTGATTTCTCACCATTGGTATATAACGGTGTCTTCCTTCCTTCCTGAATTTAGATCACATTTTCTTCCAAAAAAAGGTAGAAAAGGGTATAGAAAAGAGACAAAGAGACGATTCTGAATTTGGAGCTGGACCTGTGTAATGCATTCAGAGATGTGGGAGGACAACAATGGGCACGCAGCTCAAAATGGCTGTTCTGCACGGACACCCCGTCCCTTCTGTGCTCCTCAGCACGAGGGACAGTGCGAACAGCTGGAACAGCTGGAAACTGGACGAGCAAACGCATGAGAAAGGCAGGAGGTGAGATGTAACAAAGAAATAACAGGAGTGCTCGAATTAAAATGTACTTTTTTCTCCTAAATACTGAGCATACGACAAATGCTGTGCCAGCTCCCACACAGTACATTTATTTGTACTCTCTGGTGACCTCGCTTTTCTTAACCAGTGAGAATGTCTATGGAGACTGAGATTAGAGCACGTCCCAAATCTGTTATGGTTGTCCCGGCCACAAATTGAAAACAAATGGAAATCAGCACAGCCTATGCAGAAAACTTGCTGCTTCTCTTTCTGCTAGTGCCTTCTGTGGAAATCACAGAGAGCTTTTCTTTTTCTTCATATCTGCAATCGTAAGATGGAATATTTGTGTATTCTATGAAAAACATCATTTAATTCTGAATCAAGTTTAATACAAGGCTGAAAATGAAGCGCTACGCAAAATTCCCATGTTATACAACAAAGCAAACATTCCCCATCCAAACACCAACCTGGGACTCCCATTTAAATTACCAGCTCATGGAAATCACATCTGCCAAAGCACGAACTCCGTTTTCCCATGGTGGAACAAATAATCACAATGATTCAATAAATGTCACAAGTCATTAATAGAACATACGCCATTAATTCTTTTAAAGGAAAAAACCCCACTCCCTCGCACCAGACCTCTACACATATGCTGATCAGCACGGTATAAATAGGTGATTACGTGCCACTTCACTTCTGGGGGGTGGGAGGCTGAGCTCTTCTTGCTGTGCTGGGAGGAATTAAGGCTTTGAGGTCTGACTGGTGACTCTAACCACCGATTTTCAATAAACTCCCTGAAAAATACTCACATCTTCTGCTACGTTGCTGAAAAGCAGTCAGCTGAATGAAATGTTACTGTGGCAGATCTGCAGCCACGGCAATGGCTGAAAGCGAAGCCGGCTATCCCTGTGCTCCAAAAGGCAGACCTCGCAGGGTGCTGCTCTGGCTGTTCTGAGACGATTCCTCGAGTCCTGACCAGGTCAGGCTGAGATTACCAGTGGGCTGTAAGCAGTCGCTATAGGATCACTACAGACCAACAACTTTCCCTGAATATTTACGTATGAGAGTCCCGCTCCATCCCTACAAACGCATGCAACTGTAGAACCCGCGCTGCCTTCACTAAGCACTGCTGTGCACCGACATCTCACAATGCAGGCTTTTCTTTTGATCGCTGGTGCGAGAAAACCTCCCCAGTTCTTGTTTCAGCACCCTCTCCATTAAACCACCGTAACCTTGCTGGAGATGCTGTGGTGCCCAGTAGTTGAGGCAGCAGCACACGCCAAGGGATCTACGCACATCACGTCTCGCTGGTGCAACGCAACACGAACCCGGAGGAAGAAAAGGCAACGCAAGGTGCACAGCAGGCAATTAAATGTCAGAATCACTGGAACTGCCTGCACTTCTGCTGTGCTTTTAAACTACTTGATAGCGCATGCTGGAAAATCAGAGTACCTTTATCTTTCTAAGCCAGATGGTCTGACTACATAAATCAGTTTTATTAAAAATATATGTGAAGAAACCCAAGTTCTATTAAAATTTAATGAATAATAAAACGTATTTCAGAAAATGAAAAAGCAGCTATATTAAAGGAGTTTTCAGCACTGAAGCACAACAAGAAGGATTATACACAGACCAACAAACCGGTATCCCACATCTTCCAGTTAATCGAGTCACGTCTGACAGCAGTGCCTAAGGGAAGAGCCAGTACACCCCTCACAGAATTCAAACATAAACCCTACGCTTAAACCCCACGAACTGTCAGCACATTCCTGAAAATATTTTGCTATCCCAAAACCGACCTGTATTTGTGTTCGGTTACCTAAAGCTGCCACACATCGTTTCAATGGGGTTACAGGCAACACCTTTAATTGCCCGTGCTCTCGTTAACTCATTGTACAAAGGCTCCAAATATGTCCGGTTCCATGAAAATATACTTTCCCCTAATGTCTGCATCCATGCCTGCTGCAACTGCCACCCCTGCAGCAGCAATACCTGCATCATTTTGGAAGAAGAGCCACCTTCCCTGCAAACTTCCCATTCCAAAGCCCCTCATCTGAACCAACCCCCGTAGACTGCAGTTCCGGGCACAGGGGAAAGGAGGCAGGGCACATCAACACTTAAATACGGGCTCCTACGAAAACAGACAAACTACCGCGTTTGCTCCACCGAAGCGAGGACAACCCGCAGCGGGGCACTTCACCGACAGCCCGGGCTCACCGAGGATCCAAAACCCCGAGAAGGAGCCGCAGCCCCGTGCGGTGCCCGGAGCAGGGAGGCGGTCGAGAGGCTGCCGCTGCTCGGACCC